CGGGGCGGAGGGGGAGGAGGGGGAGGAGGGAAGGGAACCGAGGGGAGGGAGGGGAGGAGCCTCAGGAGGAGAAGGACGATGCATGAGGAGGCGGCGTGTGAGAGAAGGGGATGATGAGGAGGAGGAGGAGGAGGAGGAGGAGGCGGAGCTTAACGGAAAGAGCGGGAGGGCGCGGGGGAGGAGGACAAGAGCAGGAGCAGCAGGAGGAGTGGTTCGGGATTTGTTTCTTGAGTTTTCAGGGATTTTGGAGCCCAGCAGATTCTGAGGGGCTCCGCCCAGGAAGATCTAGCGCGAGAGGGGGGAGCCAGAACCGGAATGAGGGGGTCAGCGGTAAGAAAGGGGAGGACGAGCAGCAGGAGCAGCAGTAGGCAGGGCGCCAAATGTTCGAAGCAGCGCATCGGTCAAGGCAGAGGAGAATGTGTGAGGTGGAGATGTGTTGGTGGCAGATGCATACGTACACGCACGCTGACATAGTAGAAAAGGTCGCACCCGATGAGGGGTTCCGGCGTAGGGGAAGGGGCACGCATCAGCTCCACACGTCCTCAACCGGACGCAGTTTCAGAGTTACTGCGATGGCCCCTTCGCAGAAAATTATGATTCGAATGGTGTTTCGCAATTTCGCTGCTGGTTCGTATCTGCATACTCGTACGGGCTTCGCCCTGTGCCGCCGGCCCCATCTTAATCATAATGGGATGTATCTCGGGGGTGGATAGAACCCCCAACAGTGACACGTCGATTAGTGAATTGTACGTTTTCGGTGCTCGAGAGGGCGCCGTGGCCGTCATTTTCCAGGCTTGCGCCCGCCAGGTTTGGGCCTCAGGTCGTTTTCACTAAACCACGTTTTGCTAAAGGGGGGTCTGTCCATCCCCGAGTATCATAATGATGGGGTGCCTGGGCGCCGTCTTGAAGACACCTGCGGACGCCGTGCGAGGACGTACAGTAATCAGCAAAACTCAGTCAGGTGTTGGGGTTACCATTTAACGCTGCGTTGCCTTGTTAGCATTCCCCTGGTGTTTTGCATGAGGAGCCCTCCAGGTACGAATGGGAGTTGCTTGAGGCGAAAATTCGCAAATGCGGGCACACCGGCGAATGTTCAAGAAACGGCGGAGAGGGGGGGGGGAAAGCGACCCCCGAACACCTGTCCCAAAACACAGAACTGCTGTTTTTCCCAAATCAGTGCTTGCACTGAAGGGGCCCTAGCGGAAGTTGAAAGATTTGGCGAAAGTTTCCCGCCGATTTTGGTAGCAGGTTGGGTTTTCTCATTGGTGTTATTCTGCTCTGGAGAAGGGGTTGTGCCTGTGCGCAGCCTCCGCGAGGTGGGTTCGTGGCCTCGGGGGACCGAACGTAACGTGATGTCCCAGGGATCGCGGCCTGGGGGGCGTGAATGTTCTTAAGGTATGAGTGTCGTGGCCTCAGGGGCACGACTGCAGTGTAATTTACGAATGGTCGTGCCCTCGGGGGCGCGAATGTGGTTTTCATCTCCTAGAGATCGCTGCCTCGGAAGCGCGAACAGGGTGTAATCTACCAAGGTTCGTGGCCTCGGGGGCGCGAGCGTGGGGCAATCTATAGGGGCATCGTACCCTCGGGGGCGCGAGAGATTATGTAATCTACCAGGGGGTCGTGGCCTCGGGGGCGCGAGTGTGGTCGAATCCGTGTTGAAATCGCAGCCTCGGGGGGGATGGGCTGCGAATGTGGCGTATTTTGAAAAGGATCGTGGCCTCGAGGACGGCAGTATAGTGTGGTACGCGAGCGTTGATGACGTCGGGCACGCAGATGTTACGTGATACGAAGGATACCCTCAGGGACGCACAGATTGCCAAATGCACATGGGAGTGTAGCTTTGGATACGCGAATACGGCGTAATGTACAAAGGTTTATGGCCTCGGTGGCACAATTACCATGTAATGTGCGACGAGTCCGCCCTCGAGGACGCGAATACAGTGTAATGTACAACGTTGTATGGCCTCGGGCACGCGACCATATGATAATGTATGAGGGTTTATGGCCTGTGACGTGTGGGGGGGGGCGGGGGGAGGCGAATCTCACGCATTTACACGTGTCCCACGGCCCCCCCAGGTGGAAGGTAATTGGATCTGTTTGAGCTCAGATTATGACATGGGAGACTTGAAATTGGAATTAGAAAAGGGAGCATCAAGCCTAGCCCCCGCAACCTGGTGGTCACACAAGGGGGCCAGCGGATACATTCACACGCCGACACAAATACCCATATGTTTTGTTTGAGTCTCGCTCGTTGTTGCTAGAACCGAGCCAGTAGGTTCATTGTTACTCTATGGTGCAGCTTCCTTCGAACCAGATGCATTGTGCCTGAGTTGTGGCCCAGAGCAGTGCAGAATGGCGATGTCGATCGCGTTTGATTGGACCTTGTGAATTATCCAGATGCGCTGCCGCGCGATTCCGCCGCCGCGCTCGGGCGGCCGTTTGGGGGGGTAGGTCTCCTTTGGGGCCCGATGGGGGCCTCGTCAGCTGTCGTACGGCACTCTTGGCCCGTCTGACGCTTTCGGAGGCCGTCTTTGGGGTCTCTCTGGGCCGTCTTGGGGCCCTGTTGGTTCGCTTAAGCGCTACCTTGGCTCTTGGACCGTCTTGACGCCCGCTCTGGGCCATATTCGGGGCCTTCTGGACCATTTTGTAGTGGCATTCGGCTTGCGCCGCCGATCCAGGACGCTCCTGGTGGATTTTCAGACTTGGTAAAAGCACCTTGGCGGTCCTCGGGGTTGTGTTGAGTTGTCATCAGGCTCTGTTGGGGCGTGTTTTTTGGGGGGAGCTGAGCTGGGGCTCTGTGGGCAGTATCGAAGACGCCTGCTGCAAATAACGCCGCCCCCCGCCTGTTGGAATCGCGCTTGTGGTCGAGCGTTGTGGCAAGAATTCTGCCAAGCTATCGGACCATGTGTTCCCCCCGTGGAAACCCTTCGGGGAACATTTGGGGGAGGATGGCGATGAAGATCAGGAGGAGGAGGAAAAAGGAGGGGGCATCTTGGGAGCCTCTGGGGGCACTCTTGGGGTCTCCCGGGGGCTTCCTGGGAGCCTCTTGGAGGCATCTTGGGGGCCTCCTTGGGCCTCTTGGGGGGCTTCTCGGGGGCCCCTTTGGCAGTCTTAGTGCATTCCTGGCCCGTCCGGCGCCGACAGAAGCAGTCTTGGGGGCCTATCTGGGCCGACTTGGGGGCCTCTTGGGGTGTTCTAGGGCCGTCTTGGAGGCCATCTTGGGCAGCCCTCTTGGGGCCGTCTTGGAACTTCTTGGGCCGGTCTGGGGCCATCTTGGTCTTGGAGGCTTGTTGGACGATTTTGAGGCGATATGTGGGGGCTCTTTGGCCGTCTCGGGCCGTCGGAAGGCCGAAACGAAACACATTCCAAATTCCTTCAAAAACTTCAGGACAATCAATGATGTTGGCCTCGTCGGGCCTTCCTGGAGGCCCTCTTGGGGGCCTCTTGGGCCGTCTTGGAGACCTCTTGGGAGCGTCTTGGTCCGTCTTGGGCCATCTTGGAGCCATCGTGGGCCGTCTTGGTGGCCTCCTGGCCTGTCGGACGCCGTCGGAAGCCGCCTTGGGGGCTTGTCTGGGCCGACTTAGGGCCCTCTCGGGCTGCTCCAGGGCTGTCTTGCAGGCCTTTTGGACCGTCCTGGGGCTCCTTGGGGCCGTCTTGGGAGCCTCCTGGGCCGTTCTGGGGCCATCTTGGAGGCCTATTGGCGATCTTGGGGCGACCTACGGGGGCTCTTGGGCAGTCTCGGGCCGTCGGAAGGCCGAAAAGAAGCAAATGCCCAATTCTTTCAAAAACAAAAAGAAGCTCAATGAGTAGGCCCTCTTCGGACCTTCCTGGAGCCCTGTTGGAGGCCTCTTGGGCCGTCCTGGAGACCTCTTGGGGGCCTCTTGGTCCGTCTTGGGCCATCTTGGAGCCATCTTGGGCCGTCTTGGTGGCCTCCTGGCCTGTCGGACGCCGTCTTGGTGGGCTCTCTGGGCCGACTTAGGACCCCTGGCCGTCTTGGAGGCCATCTTGGGCGTCTTGGAGGCCTCTTGGGCCGTCTTGGTGGCCTCCTGGCCTGTCGGACGCCGTCGGAAGCCGCCTTGGGGGCTTGTCTGGGCCGACTTAGGGCCCTCTCGGGCTGCTCCAGGGCTGCCTTGCAGGCCTTTTGGACCGTCCTGGGGCTCCTTGGGGCCGTCTTGGGAGCCTCCTGGGCCGTTCTGGGGCCATCTTGGAGGCCTATGGGCGATCTTGGGGCGACCTACGGGGGCTCTTGGGCAGTCTCGGGCCGTCGGAAAGCCGAAAAGAAGCAAATGCCCAATTCTTTCAAAAACAAAAAGAAGATCAATGAGTAGGCCCTCTTCGGGCCTTCCTGGAGCCCTGTTGGAGGCCTCTTGGGCCGTCCTGGAGACCTCTTGGGGGCCTCTTGGTCCGTTGTGGGCCATCTTGGAGCCATCTTGGGCCGTCTTGGTGGCCTCCTGGCCTGTCGGACGCCGTCTTGGTGGGCTCTCTGGGCCGACTTAGGACACTCTTGGGGTGCTCCCTGGCCGTCTTGGAGGCCATCTTGGGCGTCTTGGAGGCCTCTTGGGCCGTCTTTGGGCCCTCTTGGAGCCATCTTGGAGGATTCTTGGGCCGACAT